AAATGGGCTTGACATTATAGAACATTTTACCCAACAACTATACAATGCATATTTTTCTCAGCTGTACATAGAACATTCTCTAAGACTGACCATACTGTAACGCACAAAACAAACCTGCACACATTTTTAAAAATGGAAATCGTATCTAGCATCTTTTCTGACCACAATGGAATTAAACTTAAAATCAACAACAAAAAGAATCTTGGAAATTACACACATAAGTGGAAACGAAACAACATCCTTCTGAACAACTTTGAAACTGCTGTAGAAATTCATATTGAATTGACAAAATGAAAGAGCTAGTTTTTTTGAGAAAATAAACAAAATTATAAATTATCTGGGCTACTTAAGATAAATAGAGAAAGGGCCGGATAAATAAAATCAGAAGATATTGCAACAAATATACAGAAATATAAAAAAATCTTTAGAGAGTACTATAAGAGATTGTAAGTCAAAAACTTGTAGAAGCTAAAAGAGATGAACAAATTTCTGAACATATACAATACACCTACCTTGAGCAAGAAACAAACAGAAGACTTGAAGAGACAAGGGCAAGTTCCTGGATACATGCAATATGCCTAGATGGTTTTAGGCATATTTCTGGTCAATATGCTTAAATAAATAGAGAGCGTAAATAGACAAATATCAAGTAGGATGATTTAATTAGTAATAACAACAAAGAAAAGCCCAGCTCCAGATGGTTTCATGGTTTAACTCTATAGAACCATTACAGAAGAATTAACACCAATTCTCCATAAGCTATTTTAAAACTATCAAATGGGAAGAACATTCCCAAACTCAGGTTACACATCCACCATCGGCTTGATACCAGCAGTAAACAAGGATACTACAACAACAAAAAAGAAAACTACAGACCAATATCACTTATAAATATTGATGCAAAATATTTCTCAACAAAATACTAGCACATCAAATCCAACAGTATGATAAAAAATTATATATCATGAACAAAAAGGACCTGTCCCAGTGATACAAAACTTTAGATTCTCAATCCATGGCTACAAGCATGCCCGTCATGGCAGGACAGGAGTCAGAGTCAGAAGACTCATATACAGGTTGGACAACTCTTATCTGAAGTTTCTGGGACTAGAAGTGTTTTGGATTATTAGATTTTTTTCAGATTCTGCAATATATGAATACACGTATAATAAGTTACCTTGGGAGGGGGGCTGAAGCCTAAACATGAAATTAACTTTTGTTTCTTTGTACTTAAACACACAGGCCAAAAGTAATTTCATCCAATGTTTTTGTGCTGCATGGTGACCCATCAAGACATCAGGTGTGGAATTTTCCATTTGTGACAACAAGTCTGTGCTCAAAATGTTTGAGAGTTTAGACCACTTTAGTTTTCAGACTTTCAGATCAGAGATGTTCAACTTATATTTCAGAAATGGATCTATTTTGTTTTGTTTTGTTTTGAGAGAGATTTTTGCCAGAGAGACAGACAGTGAGAAATCACCACCTAGAGGGGATGACCATGCTGCAATCTCTTCTCCTTCATTCTCTTCTCGGGATTTTGTGCACACATGCACATGTGCCTGGTGTGAATATCAAGCCATCAGGTCCAGGACTCGAACCATGGTCGACCACTTGGGAGTCCAGTGCTTTAACCACTATGCTACCTGCTAGCCCTCCAGGAATGGATTTTAGAAGGAAAACTTCTAGCAGGGAACTTTCAGCTCATTGCCTGGTTTTGAAATCTATACAAATTTAAATATTAAAAATAATAACATGAAGAAAAGTTTAAGAATACATTTAGGAAAATGTATAACCTCAAATGCGCTGGGAAAGTTTTTAAAATCTATCCAGGGACTAGCATCTTGTTTACTTTTTTATATACTCTCTAATGCTCAGGTTAAGCCACCATCAACACCAATATAACTACTCTGCCACAGAGTGGTCTAAACTATAGCTTTCGATATCATCTCATATCATCAATACAATAAAGATATATCAACCAATATTATTCTTTGGTTGGATGACTCTTTTCTCCTATGTCTTCTGCTGTTACTGTCTTGTCTTATTCTTCCTTCTTCCCATTCCTCCTTCACTTTTTCATATTTACATAATTATTTAATATTTTCTACTTAGAAGGCATATTTCATATTATTTCTCATGTGAAACAACTATCATCTCAGCGTTTTAAAAAAGATTTATTTATTTAATACTATTCATTTATTTTTTTTAATTTGCTGTAGGGCTTACGTGCTCACCAGAGGGAGACAACTGTAGGGGAAGGAGGGAGAAAGCAAGCTGCCAGGTCTGGAACTTGAATTGTGATCAGCCATGTGAGAGTCTAGTGCCTTAACCACTATACTATCTGCTGACCCCTCTCAGCTCAGCTTTTAAGCTCAAAAACAGCCCTGTTGAAGGTGCTTCTCTCTATCATGAAAGAAAGAAATAACTTTAAAAAAAAAAAAAATCTCTAGGAGCACCACTCTATAATGCTGAAACCATATGGAGGATTGAGGTTTGGTTCCCAGGTGAACCTATTCACACCAGAAGCATTCATGCAAGCCATGATCCTGGCTGGCTGGAAAGACTGTGGGGAGGATAGAGGCATGAGCCTCTATAGAGTCAGTCTCTCTCTCTCTCTCTCTCATATAAAAGAAATAAATATTTCTAAAAGTTAGAAAATGTGTGTAACTGTGGTGGCAGAGGATGTGGGGTGCCATTCTGCAAAGCCAGAGCCACATGGGTTGACCTGTACATGACTGCTGGCTGAAGTGTTGAGGGGCTGGGGGTCGTGGCACAACAGAACTCTATCAAGGTGGCCTGTTTCTCTCAAAAATAAAATAGAACAAAATAAAAACAGACTTTGGAGGGGTCAGCAGGCGATGAAGTAGTTAAGGCACTGGACTCCCACATGGTCAACCATGGTTCATATACTAGGCTTGGTGGCTTCAAACTCATGCCAAGCATATGTGTGCCATGCCCAGAATCCCAAGAGAAGAATGGAGAAAAAGGGATTGCAACATGGGATGGCTCACTTCTCTCTCTCTGACTCTCTCTACGGTGGGTGCATGCACATAATAACAAAAATCTCTCTTAAAAAGAAAAAAGATAGACTTTGGGGAAAAAATAGTTAGAAAATTGAGGCCAAAAACAATAAATGATCTGTTTAATATTTCAGAGTAAGTGGATAAAAGAATTTTAATTTCTCTGAATCTACACTATCATTTTTTCAAAGGCCATAGATTTTTCTGTCAATCTTTTTTCTTCCTTCTGCCTCTTCTTTTCTTCTTCCTTCAAGTCTATACTGTGTTATGCTTGTTCTCAATGACAAGTATTTGTGTCTCACCCATCTTGTTTTTCATTCCTTTCTTCTCATCTCCCTCGCTTAGTTCCCCCAACCTCTTCATTAGAATGGCTAATTCCTTTTTGACATAGGGCACATGTGCTTGCTGGAGAGAGAGAGAGAGGGAAAGTGACAAATCACCCCCCCCCTCCAGGGTAGATGGTCATGCTTCAATCCTTTCTCTGCTAATCTCCTCTGGGGATTCTGGGCATGCTGAGTCTGAGACTCAAACCATGGTCAGCCACATGGGAGTCCAGCACCTTAACCACCACACCACCTGCAGGCCCCAGATGGTTAATTCTTATTGATTCTCTAGGTGTCAACTTGGATATCCAGCAGAAGTCTTCCTGGTGGCATGTTCAATCTAAGAGGAGGCACCTTTTCCACACGCTTTCAGAGTATCTTCGGTTTCCCTAGGAGAGGGTTTGAGATCCATGGCCCTTTGAAGACAGAGATTATGTCCAGTTTATTTAATATTGTGATGTCTGCATCCTGGTGAAACTCCAAATCTTACACACTACATTTGACTACAGAAATGTGTAGAAAGACGCAACTAAGAAATGCTTTTTAAAAAGTTCTTGCCACTGTTTGACAATGGAAAACTTCAGGTGAGTCTCAAAAATTCAGACTCACCTGAATTTTTTTGTAAAACTACTAGAGACAAAACAGTAATATAAATTTTAAGATACTAGAATCCCTTCTATCATATCCAGTCCCTAAAATGGCATGAATGACAAAATTGTTCTCACTGAATTTCCATGCTAGATTACATTATTGTTAAAAATACAATTCCTTGGGACCAGCAGTTAGCATAATGGCTATGTCGCTGGACTCCCATGTAGCCGACCGTGGTTTGAGTCCCAGTGGCTTAAACTCACGCTGGGCGCGTGTGTTCGCATGCCCAGGATCCCAAGAGGAGAATGGAGGAGAAGGGATTGAGGCGTGGCCATCCCCCCAGGGGGGGTGATTTCTCACTTTCTGTCTTTTTGGTGAACACATGTGCCATATAGCAAAAACCTCTCAAAAAAAAAAAATTTAAATAGACATATATCTTACGATCTAGTCATTCCACCATTAGGTGTTTGCCAAAGAGAAGCAAAGGCCGATGTCCACAAAGGGACAAAATGTTCACAGATGCTTTACTTGTAATAGTATAAAATCAGAAACAACTCAGATTCCTATCAGTGGGTGAATGAATAAACAAACTGCGGAGTGAAGTACTGTTTAACAATACAAAGGAAGAAGCCACTGATATGCACCATGACATGAATAAAATTCAAAATAACTATGCTAAGGGATGCATGAAACAAAGGAGAGCACACACTCTATGATTGCATTCTTATAAATCAGGAAAACACGAACTATTTAATAGTGCCAGAAAGCAGATCACGGGTTGCCTGGGGAGAGATGTAGAGGAGGAAAGGACATAGGGCTTCCCAATGGCGGTCAGCCACACTGCGGGACGATGGGCATGCTCGTTATTTTGATTCGGGAAATCCATAAGTTCTAGCCCATGAAGGGGTAAGGTTCACAATTCAGACCAAAAAAAAAAAAAAAAAAAAAAAAAAACAAAAAAAAAAAAAAAAAAAAAACAATCAAGACACAATCAGCCTCGATGATTTGAAAGGTAATAACTACTGAAAACCGGGCCCTCCAAAGATGACAGTATTTAAATACTTACCATCTCCAAAAAGATGTGTCACTAGCCTGGTGAGTGTCTGCTTCAGGTCAAATTCTACGAGCTTCACGGCCTCCATGGTGTGCGTCTCTTGTTTATGGGCAGAGCGAGAACTCTTTTCAAAGAGCTGCAAGTTTTCTCCATCATTTATACCAGCAAATAACTGTAAGTTATGAGGGACAGTGTAAGGAAATACAGCAGTTATTTCATCAGATAACCTAGAAATCCTGCTAAAAATTCTTTTGACTCCCAAGTTTCAATGTGGGAATAAGTCCCATTATGTTTTATATCCAGTAATATAAGGAAACTAACATTCACTTAATAGCAATGTTGAACAAAACGCTATGCTACACGGTGTGGAGGATCTTTAGGGAATTAAAAGACACTGTTCTAATCTTGGCTAATATCTCCCATTTTACACTTGCATGAACGTATAGTCATTTCACTCTAGTGGAAACACCACTGAATCACAGTTATAGGCTCTACAGCGATATCCTAACCATCCCACAGTGTCCTTACAGTATGATGTAAGGATGGATAAGAAAGCATCATCTAGAATTAACTAGAAGCATGCTGAATTGTGCTATCCCTGTACTTCTAAAGGACAGGACAGGGTTTGAGGCAAATTTCCGCCAATTACTATCCGTATTAACTTAGGCAAGTGGTACGGCAGCTGAGCCTTGGGTAATGATTTGTAACATGGAAACAATACTATTAATAGTGTTCATTATAAATAAAATAATGTGTCAGAAATACAGAGTACCTGGCACATGCCAATGGCTAAATAAATTCCCTTCATTATTATCATCATCATTAATCATAACTATTATTAGTCATAAGTGGTTTTGTCACTGAAATAAAAGAGCTCCTTCTTGGCAACATAATAAATTTTTACTTGCTAGGAAAGAGACTCAAGAACAGACAAATAAAGCCCTCATTTGTCCCACCTGAAGCTCTATAAAATCAAAAACTTTAAAGTTGTAATTTTAAAAAAGTCATTAACTGCTATTTCCAGTAATGTTGAGTTGAAGTAATTACAGCCAAAACTCCTGATAAAAAAATGCAACTTAAAAAATACAAAAAAATTTTCAAAGAATTGAAGAAAAGGCCCAAGAGAAAAGAATGAATAAACAAAACTGTACAGGAAAGTGTGAAGCCAGGAATAAAACAAATAAGAATAATAATAAAGGAACACAAAGCCAGAGAGGAGCACTGAGAATATCTGCCTATCTAACATAACATTCCCAAACTTGAACTTTGGTTGTCACAGTGTACCATAGTGGATGAGACCCAAGTGAAAACGTGGTGTCTAACCAAGCTAGAGTGCCTGATAAGCCGCCCTAAATCCCTCTTTCTCATAAGGATGGACACAGAAATGAAGTAGAGCGTGTGTAGACTTGCAGTGAGGTGCCACATTTCCTAGACGATGGGCATCCTCGGGCTGTGAAAATGGACTAAGGCAGGCTCGGGACAATAACTCTTCTAAAGGTCCAACAAAATCAAGACATTTTTGAGAAAAGGATTCTATCGGGCTGGCCCTTTAGTGAGTGGTTATGGACTGGGTGGAGAAAGCCAGATCCAACATGGATGGCCATGGTTCAAATACTGGCCCCAGTAGCATGAAAAACATGCCAAGCACGTGTGTGTACATGCCTAGACAGGATCCAAACAAGATAAAGAAGAAAAAGGGGGATTGCTTGCATCATGACAGGGACCACTGAGGTGTGATTACTCCTTCTCTCTCTTTCTCTTTCTCTCTTTCTTTCTCTCTATCTCTCAGATGTGCACGTGCCCTCTGACAACTGAAAGAAAGAGAATAAAAGAAAAAGATTCTATTAACTTATGTCTCAAATTGTTCTTATGAGAGCCAAAGACAATGGCAGTTGCCACAGTCTCTATCTTTCATTATTTCCTCTAAGAATAATTTAGAACCTTAAGAACAAATGACGCTTAAACGCCATCCCTCAGAATACCATGGAAATAGAGAAGGCCCAAGTTTCAAAGTAACTGTATGTAAAAGGGAAAGATAGAAGGCAGGCAGGATAAATACCAAGACAGGGCTAGTACACTCCCTAACCCACTGCAAGCAAGCCTTTGCGGTAAGCAAGAGAAAGCTGAGAAGAATTGGAGGAAAGAAAGAACTTCTTCATCTAAAATCACCAATCTTCATCTAAAATCACCATCAGAAAGAGTAAGTCACCCTAAGTACAATATTGCTTAAAAAAAAAAAAGAAAGAAAGAAAGAAAGAAAAGAAAAGAAAGCAGAAAAAAATAAAGTATCCTTTTAGCCCTGACCAGAGACTACAGAAAAGGTATGTAAAAGTATGGCCAATCGAAAGTGAGTCTCTAAATGAAATGCATAGTTAAAATGGAACAGAAAGGAGGAAAATAAAGTGAAAGACACCCTTTGCAATTGGGTGGGAAGTACAAAAAAAAAAAAAAAGAAAAGAAAAGAAAAGAAAATCAGGGCTGCCAAGATAAAATATACCTAAAATTAAAATTTTAGAGTAATTACAAAACTATATCATACCAACCCACCCTTACCACACTCTCAAAAATATCCACTAAAGAATGTTTACTTTCCTACACTTTTACAAGAGGACAACAGAGAACGCAAATAAAAATAAAAATAAATGAACAGAAGAAATAAAACTTAGAGAATTATCACCCCAAAAAAATCATAAAACCAATTTAAAACAACTCCACTAATAGAAATTCAACCCACTTCTCTGCAAAAACAAAAAGCAAGAAGAAGAAAACTCTAAACTAATACTTGAAAACTAAATTTAATATATTCAGATAAGCCATATAGAAATACAGCCAACTTCTTGAGCCAGAAACTGAAAAGTTAGAAACAGAAATGGATGAAAAACAGAAAAAAAAACAAATATAATTGATCGAATTTGGGGGTAATAAAAAAAGAAGAAGAAAAGAAAGAAAGAAAAATCACCTCAGAACTGAAGTCTAACTTAAAAAGTATTCAAGAAATAATAGACTCAGTGAAAATTTTTTAAAGATGCATTAAAAAAATAAAATAAAAAACGGGCAAACAACCAAGAGAAAGACAATGAAGTAAAGAGTCAGAAAGGAGATGGTATTATAGACATGGAAGACAGATAAAGAGGAAATAACATTTATATAATTGGAACCCTTGAAAGGGAAAAATAAAACAATGGAATAGAATAATGGACATCAGACGAAAGGACAATTAACCTGGAAGAATCAAACATAAGACACATACTGGTAACACTATACTTCAAAAATAATATAAAAAAATTCTCAAGGCTTCTATGGAAAAAACAAAATCCAACAACAAACCCACAGAATAGCAAAGCAATCAAACTTCAAAAAAAAAAAAAAAAAAGAAGAAAAGAAATTGAACAACAAAGGAATAATACAATAAATTTTCAAACAACTCAATTTTAAAAAGTGTATACTAAAAATTTTGTATCAATCAATACTATCTTTTTAAGTATCAAGTCTATAGAAAAAGCTTTAAACACATAATAAAATAGGGAATGAGAGATGAATATTTTCTAAAAATGTAACTAAAGGTTCAGCTTTATTCAAGCAGCAAATATCTGGAAAAAGTTTAGCCAAAAAATAATGGATCACAGGTTCATTTACTAAAATTCTAAGAGTTAAGAGTAAAACCTAGAGGGACCAGAAGGTAGTGAGTGTGGTGGTTAAAGTGCTGAACTTCCACATGGCCAACTACAGTAAGAGTCCTAGGCCTAGTGGCTTGCTTTCTCACTTTCCCTCTCACTCAGTTTCTCTCTGGTCAATTTTTTTAAAAGAATATTAAAAATAAATAAAATTAAATAACTTTTTAAAAGACTCAAAGTTGGAGAATAAGTTGTAAGACTAATATCCAATGGTATATTCTAGAAAAAAGTAGAAATAGTGAAACTAAAAACTGGAAGAAAGAAGAGGCAAACAGAAAGAATACACTCATTAACTACTGGATAAATAACAGGTAAGAGTTTAGGTTATTCCCTTTCTGACAAGGAAGACAGTAAAAAGTTATATATGACAACAGTTGCGATAAGGCATTTTCTTAAATGTAAGCATAAAAGCAATCATTAAAACAAAAATATAACCTTCCTAAATAGCAACAAATTTTAATTCAAGGGCAAAAAAAAAAAAAAAATCATAAAATAAATAAATAAACACTAGGGCTAGCAGGTGACACAGTGGTTAAGGCACTGGACTTCAACATAGCTGACTGCAGTTTAAGTCCTGGACCTGATGGCTGAAAAGTCATGCTGGCTTCATGTGCACGTGTGTCCAGAAGCCCAGGAAGAGAATGAAAGAGAAAGGATTGCAGCTTGGCCATCTCCCATGGGGAGTGACAGAATTCTAAGTTTCATTCTCACTGTCTCTCTCTCTGTCTCCAGCAAGTGCACACTACCTGTGGCAAAAATATTAAAAAAACAAATAAAAAAACAAAAAAGAACTGAGGGGCCAGCAGGTGGTAGAGTAATTAAGGTGCTGACTCCCACATTGCTGACCGCAGTTCAAGTCCCAGACTCAAAGTCTTGAAATTCATGCCAGCTCGTGTGCATGTAGGTCCAAAATCCTGAGAAGAGAATGGAGAAGGGATTGCAGCATGGCTACCCCTCTGGGGGATGATTTCTCACTCTCTGCCTCTCTGTCTGTCCAGCAAGAAAATGCATAATAGCAAAAATAATAAATAAATAAATAAATAAATAAATAAATAAATCTCATCCAAAAAAATTAAATAAATAAAATAAAACAGGGGCCAGTAGCTGATGTCTTGGTTAAGGCACCAGATGTCCACACAGCAGAAGGCAGTTCAAGTCCCACACCTGACAGCTTAAAAATCACACTGGGTGCGTGCGTGTGTGTACCCAAAACCCAGAAGGAGAGTAAAAAAGAAGGGACGGCAGCATGGCCAACCTCCTAGGGGGTGATTTCTCACTTTCTTTCTGTCTCATCTCTCACTGTCTCTCCAGCACCTTCATTACCACACCACCTGCTGGTTCCAGATAAGGAACTTTTAAAAAGTTGTCAAAGGCCCCAAAACGCAATAGAAAAAATAGAAAAAATATATGAGCAGATAAGTCATACATGCAAAATCATTGAAAATTACTCCTTGAAATCATGAAAAGATATTCAAACTTGAGACTGTAAATTAAAACA